TAATAATAATAATAAATAATAATAATAATAAATAATAAAAGATAAAACAAATGGTCAGTGTGATTGAGTACTTCAGCGTGGTATCAAACAGGTAGAAGAAAACCCGTCGATCCATTAAACTGATAAAACAAAACAACAATGCAGTGTTGGTTTGGCCAAATTAATTACTCGACCGCTTATTAGCAAGCAATTAACATTTTCTCTCCACCTATCGAAGAAGACATTAGATAGGTTTCAGTGGAAAGGTTACTCAAATCAAACTTAGCATATCTTCAGCAGTATAATACTCTGTTTATAATGTAATATTTAAATTTTACAAAACAAAAATTATATCAATTAAGTGGTTACAATTGTTAGGAAAAATTTTTACCTTTATACTAAGTAATTCATTGTCATTGGTTAAACGTTCGATAATTTTATCACTTTCCAGCAATTGCTCATATAATGTTTGATAATTATTAGCAGTATCCTCGATAAAGGTTGTTGCTGAGGCAAGCGCTGTTGAAAGTTGTTCAATTTCTGCTCGAAGTTCATCATTTTGTTGCGCCACTTCCTGATGATAGTATTTTGCTTTCGTATTCTTTCGTAATCTTCGAAATTTAAAACAAAAGTCGCTGCGAATTCGTGTGAATTCAACATTAAGTATTGAGGAAGATGATTAGAAGGACCTGAAGCTGTTTGGAAAGTAATGCAGCTTGTTGGCTTCGTTGTCGTAATTTCAACGTTTCGGCTTCATTAGTCGCAGTTCCTTCTAATTTATTTTCAAGTCGTTTACTTAGTTCACGAATGGATTCATCCAAAAATGCTTGCTGAAATAATTAGGGATTGGAACATTTCAAAGATTATTACCAATAGACGGGAAAATATTCGAGACTGTACCTGTTGAATAAGTTTAGCACGTTCATTCTCGAGTTGTTCTACGCGGCAACTTAATTTCTCAGCTTTATCACTTTGTTCTGCTAATTCACGATCGCTAAATAAGCCATTACATTTATATTTCTTACAACTGTTGATTTCAATTTCGATAAAATTTCGGAATACTAATAGAACGTAAATAGGGAGAAATCGAAATGAAAATCCGTTTGACCCTTTCCTCTCCTTTTCCTTACGCTTATTTTACTTCAATACGGTATATTTATTCCAACTCACTCATAGTTCCGAGTTTTGTATTAAGTGAAAGTAAATAAATTAAAATATTAAGTGAAAGTAAAGATAAAAATAAATCAAAGATAAGCAACCGTTCTTGATTTCTTCCCTTCAAATAAACATTTTCTTCTGTTAAACTGTTAATTCGTGTTCGAAAAGTTTCACTGAGATCGGTGGCGTTTGTTGTGGCAGTTATGCGTTCACGTAAAAGGTCGAGTTCAAGCTGCAAGTAAAGGTAAATTGTGTGTTTTGAATTTTTTTTTTTTTTTTTGGAATTTAGGAATGAAAAAGTACGAAAAAAATCACAATTTTTAATTAAATTTCTGCAAAATTAACTGGGAATGATTTGCGTTCTCGGACCCATTTGATAACTTAATAATTTAATGATGTAATAGAAATTATTTGATAAGTTAACGATCATTCATCTGAAGAAAACCTTAAGTATCGAGATGATAAAATTGGAATTCAAACCTATTTCTTACCTTTATCATTAGTTACTAATTACTGCCATCCATTATTTATACAATTAGCTAATGGATGCGATGATGAGTAAGTTACAGATTGAATCGATTCGGAATAATTGATGGAATAGTTGCATTATCCGGAACAGCTTAGTTGCGGATAATGAAAATTCACTTCCACCCGACTGACTGAATTCATAGGACCACAGTAATTAGACAATGATAATTGCACTAATTCTTACGTAATTAATTAGCATACATTCATGTTTTCTTTTTCTTCTTCCCAGTTTTCTTGTTTTTCCACCATTTCCGCAGCTTCTTTTACCGCCAACTCTTTCAACTCTTCCGCATTTGCATGTTCATATTGCATGATCCATTTCAACGCTTTCATAATTGACTTAATTGACTCCGATACTTCAATATCGTCCAGATCATACTAAATTTAATAAAGAATAAAATAAATGCTAGATTTAGATTCAACTGTAAGACTTGTAAGAAATACTATATTGGATTTAAATACGAAAATAAATATTTCATTTCTCGAGAGTAAGATTAAGATTTATCGAAATTTAAACTAAGATTTATTTGTAGATCAAGGTTTTTCTTTTTTTAAAAAAAATAAGATTTATCATATTTCCAGTAGTAAGGATAAGCTAATCTATTTCACTTGATTTTTATTGGATAATCTTAGCACAAATAAGTAAATATAAAAAGGTAAAAACTCCCAATGACTAACATACCCTAAAATATAAAGTAAGTGCTATATTGCATTGTAAATTGTAATTTGCAAATTTTAAATCAAAAAATTAATTCTTTCTTTCTCATTACGACAAGTGCTATCACTGGAGATGTGAAATT